CGCGCGAGATGCGGTGATGATGATGTAAGTGACGTTGTTGCATTTTAATGTTTTGTTCGTCTAGCCCACAAGACGCGCCGCTGCTGCGTTATGCATTCAAAATATTAGAGAAATATAGAAGTTCAATGCGGAGAAGATCTTGATTAGTTGAAAACCGAAACCAAGCCATTCACACATTTTTTCACAGCGCATTTTTTAACGAACAAATATGACTGCTGCACTCGCGTGTCAGAGATGTAGCCATGCAAAGTTAAAACAGTTTAAACTTTTAGAAAACACGTCACGAATTTGTGGAGGTTTATTCCTTTTCACTGTGTCTTATATGTTTTTAAATGCAATCTGTGTGAATGGAGCTTCGGCTGTTTGGATTAAGCAATGCATCTAGTGCTGTCAAACGATTAATCGCATCCAAAATAAGTTTTTGCTTACATAATAATATGTGTGTGTGATGAAGATGTTCCCTCTTAGAATCCCTGCGTGAATACTGTCTATTCCAGTTCCACTTCTTTAAGAAAACACACAAGAGGGGCAAACAGGCAAAGGGATACATGTGCAGTATGAATACATTCTCTCTGGCTCTGTGAATATCTAGGGTTAAAGTTCATCTTCATCATACTGAGAACTAGGCCATGCTTCTAGATCATGGCCCGGAAACCGAAGGATAACGCGGCTCCCACAGCCAAGCCAAGAGAGAGGAAAAAAGCCATGATGGCCCCTGCGGTTTCTGCTTCATGTTGGGACACTTTCCTGTGGGACGAACACAAAACATTAGAGGACATGAAGAACTTTGACTAACTGTTAGATGAACACCATCATACTGTGTACAGAAAAGATGAAACTAATATTGCTACTAGGGCTGGGTAAAAAAATATCGATTTCTCGATTTGAATCAATTCTCATTTTTATGAAACCATATTGTTTCTTGAATCCCAAAAATCGATTAGTCTAGCCTGTTTTCAGTTAATGAACGTAACATTGTAGATTATGATTTAATAACATTATTAAATCATCATAAGCTTTGTGATTTGTTAGTTTTGATTTGAAACAAAGTTTGAGATTTCAAATTCTGTCCATTTTATTACAATATTCAAACAATAAATACAGTTTTGGCGCTGTTTAATGTGGAGTAACAGATCACTGTAGCGCCTCAGTTGAAGAGAAGCGGCAGCACAATTTTCATTTCAACAAAATAAATTCATTATCATTTTTACCCTTCTTCAATATTTAATTTATGCTTGGCAGCCACCATTTAAATGTTTATATTATAATATATCAATATAATAGTAATGTAGCATCAAATGACTCTCATGTATATTTGACAGCATTAGTTGAGAGAATTTTTTTCCTTGAGAAAGTTTGTCATGTATTGTACCTGATATATATCCAAAATAATCGATATTGAATCGAATTGAATTGGAATCGAAAGCTTGTGAGTCAAAATTGAATCGTGAAAACCCTAAAACCCAGCCCTAATTGCTTGAGGAACTACTAGCATTTCTTTGCTTAACAAGCAGCACAAATCATTCATGTTAATGTAGCACACTGGGACAATTTTATTTTTCTAGCAGCCTGACATAAGTAAGTCTGTTTCGCATGCATGTTGATGATATTTTGTACGTACTTTGGTCCGAAGCACATACAGAGACTGGCCAGGTATCCGTTGCTGAAGGAGAAGAGGATCATGAAAATGATGTACCAGGCGTCGTGAGCGAACACCACGGGCAGGTAGTGTCTGGGCTGAACGTTACAGAGCATGAAGAGAGGAACGAACACCAAGCGTGCGATGACCAGGACGGACAGCCAGATGCTGTCTTTACCGGGCTGAACAGAGAACAGAGAGCACATGTCAGACTTCAGCTGAACATAAATCTATCTGCAGACATTCATCATCATCATCATCTTCTTCAGAACAAACCAAATCTAAGAAAATGTATTACATTTTATTTGTCAAGACACACTGTTCAGTTAAAGGGGTGGTTGATTGCCATTTCACTTTTTTAACGTTAGTTAGTGTGTAATGTTGCTGTTTGAACATAAACAATATCAAATACTGTATTAGTTCAAGTTGAAGTTCTAAAATTACTGAAATTCTAACTGAAATAAAAAGAAACTATTGCTAAAGAGAAATATTTAAAATAAAATACGATTTATTTATTTAAAATAATAAAGCCAGAGAGAAAATACACAAAAGGTTTTGGTTTCGTTATTTAACTTTGTTAGCATGAACATTTTCAGCATTTATCAAGTTGTAATTTAAAATGACAAATTTTGTCAAAAATGGTCAAAAGATGTGCATAACCATTTTGCTTTTTTTTTCAAATTTGAAAAACTGTTATTTTTAAGTAAAACTATATTGATTTCTAAAGATAAATATTTAAAATTGTAACTGTAAAACAATGAAAAACATACAATTACACATAACAAAACATACTGAAATTAAAAGCCAATTTAAAGTGAATTACTAAACACTGAAAAGAATATTTAATTAATATAACTTTATAGATATAAATATATTTTTAAATTTATTATTTATAGTAATTAATATTGTTTTAATATAACATTATATACATATATATATATATATATATATACACAATTTATTATTTAAAATAAAATACGATTTATTTATTTAAAATAATAAAGCCAGAGAGAAAATACACAAAAGGTTTATTTTGTTATTTAACTTTGTTAGCATGAACATTTTCAGCATTTACCAAGTTATTGTAAATCTCAACATAACTAACATCATGAAATGTTAGTGTTACCAAATATAATATAAATGTTCTCGCAGCTTCAGCAATTCTTTTATAATAATGTCACAGTTTTGTACTATATCATAATACACAGTTTTATATCATAATACGCAGCTATCATTATCATTAAATCAACTTCCACCAGCCATTATCAAACCCATGCTGGTCAACCACTGCAATCCACTTGCTTAACCAGCCAATCAGTGCATGAGAAAGACATCTTCAGCACATTCTGAGCTCGCGTGAGCATCCATGTGAAAGTGGTTTTGCTCCTGAAACACTCAAAACTCATGACAATACCGAATCTAAATCTGCCTCATTTACAGCTATTGCCTGGACGTGACATCTTCAATTCATTTACTATCTCAGTACATGCTGATCTACAGCTGTCATAGTTTCTCCCATGATGCTCAGCTCTCATTCAGATGGACATTTTTGGGCTCGAGAGAAACAAGCGTTACATTGAGTGTGGTAACAGTGTACATGAGCAGCACATGAGCGTGAGACAGCTGACTGCACACGAGACGCGTTCCAGTGCTCATGTTATTAAAGACTCACTAAGTGCCAGGAACACTGAGAGAGCTGATCTGCTCCACTGAGGTTTAACTTAATCAGTTTTCCCTGTTAGTGAGTTTGACATTTTATAGAGGAAGTTACATAAGAAGCTGAATTCCATGTAAAAGTTTTCTATGTTGACTTACATTTTAAAGTAGTGAGAGGAACTGAGCCGCAAAAAAACTTCACATTGACCTTCCTAAGCACCAAACACATGAACACACAGTCAACGACATTAACAACCTGAACAATATTTATCTAATGACAATTAATAAACAAATACACCGAAGCCTTGATATGTACTATATTTGTATTATGATAAATAAAACCCTTCATTTTCTACTATATTTGTCTTATGATAAATAAAATCCTCTATATCAACTATAAATAGATAAATAAAATATCCATGATATCTACTATATTTGTATTATGATACATAAATAAATCCTTGTATATTTCCTATATTTGTATTATGAAAAAAATAAACACATCCTTGAATATTTCCTATATTAATGTAATAAATAAAATCCTTAATATTTACTTTATTTGTATAATTAATAAAACATTGATATCTACATGGTTATCAATCAGTTTTTTAACCAACTAGGGCTGCACAATTAATCGTGATTACAATTACAGATGCCACAATTACATAATCGTTCAAAGCAGCAATTAATCGTTCAAAGTCCACTTATATTATTCTGCATGCTTAAGATGTGTTTTTTCTTTCTACAGTTTATCTTAAGGATTTTTCCAATGTTTTAATTTTAGCTTTAATATAACATTATAATACCATGCATATTTTTACCTTTTTTTTAATTTAAAGAAGAAACCAGACCAATGTAGAGTTGACATTTGAGACTTAATGCTATAGAAAAGCAATACAAGTTTTTCAGTTAGTGTTTTCAGCTTGTTTATTTTCATATAAAAATATGGCATGCATTTGCTTCGAACAATGGTATAAACATCATTCAATGTAAATTGTGATAATCGGAATTAATAAGCGCAATTACAGTTTCAAGGGAATAATCGACAATTATGATTTTTGTCATAATCGTGCAGCCCTATAACCAACCATTAAAGTATCATAACAGTAGTCATGAAAATAGCTTTGTATGAGGAACAGACTGAAATTGCATGAATGAAACTGAAGAGCTACATATAACATATTTCAGTCAGTTCCGCACACAAAGCCATCATATGACTTCAGAAGACCACTTCTGGACCACTTTTAATGGTACTTTTTGAAGCTTGTATGGAAAAAGCAACTTGTTCCACATAATAAATGAAGTCACATGAGTTCGAGAGTTTTCATTTTTGGCTGAACTGCTCTTTTAACATGATGTAGGATTTTCCAGAGAAACTATTCGACAGTGTTTTTCCCTGCCCTGCTCTTTGTTCAGAAAAAACACATCTTAACAGGAATTCCATGAAAACCCAGGATGGGACGGTCAAATACAGAAAGCAGATGCTCCGTTTGATCAAGCCCTGATAAAGCATTCGCAGCAGGTGCAGTCCCTGCCTGAGCCTGATTAACACACACACATACGTACCCACATACAGACAGCAGTCAGGCTCCTGCCGGCCCAGTCCATCATGTTGAACAGAAGGAAGCAGGACACAGGGATGAAGTAAGTATCTGTGAAAGAGACAGAGCAGTTGTGACACGTCTGCTCTCACTGGCAGAGAATAAGTAGGAACTTCGATATAATGACATGCAAACATGCTCACCCCAACCGTTCCCCTCTTCAACAACAGTGGTCTGGACTTCAACAGTGACGGCTGGGAAGATGCCAATGGTGACGGTGAAAACAAAGCATACAGAAAGAGCCATCACCCAGATCTACGACAGGAGACCAGAGAGTAGAAGTGTTATTACAAACAGACTCCTGCTCTTAAGAGGCTTTATTATGCATCGCTAACTTCGGCTATGGCTAGTTTGGTTGGTTATGTAGGCAGCTGGTTGGAGTTAAGACCTGTTTGAAGATGCCAAACACGGACACGGCGGGTCTGCTCTCTTCATCAGTCAGGCTCAGGACCGGCCTCTTCTCTGTTTGACCTTCTACAAGCCAAGAGTATAAAAACACAGGGAAAACAGGGAAACATGAGAAACAGACACAAAGCCTTACCGTGTTCTGTATTTGTCATTTAGCAACAAAAAAGTCTTTAAACATCATGAAAAACACATTAAGACACTGTTCAGTCACTCCGAGACTGGGATTTTTTTTAGGGAATAGTGTCCCAAAGTCAAAATATTTAGGAGCTGTCAAAATTAAAAATAAAATAAAAAAATATTTAATACAAGTTTAACACAAAAATGAGAGAAACTTAGTGTTAAAGGTTTTAAGACAGAACTCAGAAAAGGCACTAATGTCTAGATATAAATCTAACGTCTAAATAAGCCTCATTTCCACCGAGTGGTACAGTAAAGTACAGTACAGCACAGTACGTTTCGGGACGGTACACCGTGATCCGGCTTGTGTTTCTACCACCAACAGTACTCTTACTTGATATACGTGGTGTATGCCGGAAAGTAGCGATCGACGTCAATTCTCACACGAAGAAGAAAGCGTAACATTGTCTGTGCGTAAGTGTGTGAAAATTCTAAAATACACAGTTTAAAATAAAATACTCTTACTTATGCTAATTCTAAAATACCCTGTTATATTTCATTCCACTCCCCTTGCAGCACGCGGAAAAAAAAAATCACCGTTCTTCAGTGAGTCTAGCGCCACCCTTTAGGTACTGGACTACTGTGCTAGATGCCCCATCGGTAGGGTCCCAAAAAAGTGGTACGGTATGGTTTGCTATTTTGGTACCATTCACTACTTCTGACAATGGAAACGGAAATAATTGCGTACCGTACTGTACTGAATCGTACCGCTCGGTGGAAACGAGCCATAAATATTTAATGTACAGTCAATATTAATGTAAAATAAGATAAAAATACTATTAAAATAAAAATGAAATAAATTGGGGCAATAAACTGAGTGTTAAACTCAGTTTAAATGCATTTAAGACAGAAATGTGTGTGTCCCAAAATCAAAATATTTAGGGGCATAAAAAATAAATAAATAAATAATTTAAAAAACAATACAAATAACAATAAAAAAGTATATAAAAATTTAAATTATATAAACTATATATATATATATATATATATATAAACTATATATTTTAGATGCAGTAGTGTTCCGAAGTCAAAATATTTATGGGATATAGATAAGATAAGATAAGATAAGATAAGATGATAAGATAAGATCTTCTGCGGCACAAATAAATTACCTTAAAATCTTGATTAGATATGTATGTATGTTGTCTGAATATTCGCCATATTAGAACTTCTGCCTGTTTTCTCTGTCAACTTGTGTGATGTGAAATAAAATGAAAAGCAGTGTGAAAACTTACTTGTACACAAGGTTGGATGCACTGGGAACAGTGGTTTGTATTCCAGTGGTCTCATATATTTGTTTGTGAGTGTTTGAACAGCATTAGATGTTTAGAGAAACATTTCTGATAAATATGAAACGCTGGCCATTACCTGGTTTCAGCAAATCCATCTTGTTTTCCTCATCAGCGCTGGATCGGGAGCCACTGCTCTCAGAGTAATACTGGAAAAACTCCTGCAGAACAAATACTTTTAGTTTTTAACATGTAAACATTGAAACATAATTCTCAGCATTGATTAATGGAAATGAAACGCAGATGTGAGTCTCAGAATCAGGGCTTTACATCATACCATTTTAGGCAGAGCGAGGTAAGAAACAATGGCCAGGAGAATAACCACACAGGCAGTGATGAAGTAGCCGAATGCACTGTCCTGTAACGCTGAGCCCGCTGGAAAAGACAAGATTCAGGTCAATACCTGGAAACACCTGGAACAGATTCAGCAATTCAAAAGTACTCCTGGACATCCCTGTAGAACTGTTTTATTAGCACATAAATAAACACACAATTATCACTTACATTAACTAGTGTAGCATTGTAGGTCTGACATTTAACATCTGTTTCAACCTACTTTGAATTTGTCAAATGCAATTTTAGTATTTGCATACTATAACAGAATTTATTTTCATTTTAGTTTTAGTCATTTTGTTCCATGCATTTGTCATTTTTATTAGTTTTAGTTTTTTTAAATTTTGCTATTCTGCTTTTATTTTATTTCAATTTTAGTTGAAGGTCTTCAACTTTCAATTTTATTCAATTTTATTTCATTTTTATTTCAGCTTTAAACATCTATTTGATTCTACTTTGAATCCTTTTGTCCAGTGTTATTTTAGTATTACTTATATCCTATTATAGTATTTATTCATATTTTAAAAATTCAGTTTTTTATTTTAATATTAGTTTTAGTACATTTGTTAAGCGTGTTCGTCCTTTTAAGCTTTATTTTTATTTCAGTTTTAGTTTTAGTCCTTCAACTTCAACTTATTTTATTTCAGTTAGTTGCCAAAGGAAGATTTCTAATTTTTGTTAAAGTTTTTTTTTTTTTTCAGTTTAAGTTTATCTATTAATATTTCATTTTTATTCAACTTTAAACATCTATTTGAATCTACTTTGAATCTGTTTTGTACAGTGTTATGTTTGTATTATTTATATTCTATTATAGTATTTATTAATATTTTCCATTTTTTGTGTTTTAGTAAAATTTGTTGTGCATTTGTATTATTTTTTAATACTTCTACTTAGCTTTATTTTCCATTTTCGAATTTTCATTAAAAAAAATTTTGTTCGCGTTTTTCATCTAATATTTAAATTTGATTTGATTTGACCTTTATTTCAATAAACAAACTTGTTTTAATAGTTTTAGTTAAAAATAACAAAGCTGGTTTAGAATTTTCCAAATTCTGGTTCCTACGATTTGGAAAAGAAGAAAATAAAGAGAGTGACAAAGGATGAACACATACAGGCGAGAGCACAGATCATGGAGAAGGCCGCAAACGTCCCTGCCAGGCCTTGTCCGCTCATGATGGGCGTGGTGTAGGACGCTGGGAGCATTCCAGCCAAACCAAACAGACTCCCTTGCAGAATTGCCCCGAACGCTGCAGAAAGAGACAGTGAAGAAGAAAAACGATGGTTAAGATTAGACATAAATCCACATAAAAATGTGTAAAGGTCGTGATAACACAGAACATCATGAAATATTTCTGAGAGTTCAGTCCTGTACGATCTCCTCTTTCAAGTAGGACCTTCCCCAGCTTGATTCTCAAAGCATACTGTGTATTAATATCAACATCAAAGGATGTGTGTGAACCCAAGCCATCTTTTCCTCATTATGAACCCCAAACAGAAACCAAACCTTGTTGTGACCCGACCCAGGGGAGAGGAAGACTACAGAGACCACGACACTGAGGTCAAAGAGGCCTGGAACAGACACACTGCAGATGATGATGATGATGGTGATACTCACAGTTGATGCAGATGATTTTGATCATAGTGAACGCAAAGAACGGCAGGGGCTCCATCTCCACCTTCACCAGCACGGCTGTGATGAGAAACACCACGAAAATGACAGATAGACTGCCTGAGATCCTCAACTTCTGAGGAATCCTGGGGAAAAAAACAACACAAGATCAGCTCACTGGCTAATAGGGAGATTCATGCTAAGTTACACAATATCTCTACATTGTTTATTACAACTTATTTTCCGCATTTTAGAATAACGGTAAAGTCAACAAAACTGTGAAATAACACAACAGAACATGGGAGTGAGTCATGAGGGATGTGCTTCCTTCACTATTTGGTCCTTTAACTCATCAATTAAACTGTAGTTTTATAAAGACAGACAGCTGATTGTAGTTTCCTACAAAACTTTATTTTCAACATTTATGCTGAAGCCTTTAGATGAAAGGGTTTTTAAGATCATCATAAACAGTTTTATATATGAGGCAGTATTGTTTAGAGGCAGTATTTATGTGGGTTGCAAACAGATTTAATTGCAATTAATCTCATGTCTGTTTGCCATAAACACAATTTTGAATTTGCTTTGATATAAACTACATTAAATTCATTTTATATTTAATTAAATTTATTCACATTTCATACATGTGTATAAATATTTAATATTTTTCTAATATATCTAAAAATATACATGTATAATTATATACAATATATGTATAATTATATACAATACAAAAATTAAATATATCCAACTGTCATATATTTGTGTGTGTGTGTAAAAAATAAAAATAAAATATAATTATATACAATTAAATTGAACAAAATATGTAAATAATTCGTTTAAATACATTTATAATACATAAATAAATTATTTTAATTATATAATTTTTACACTTACATTTTTTCATAAAAAAAAAATTTGTTCGCGTTTTTCATCTAATATTTAAATTTGATTTGATTTGAGCTTTATTTCAATAAACAAACTTGTTTTAATAGTTTTAGTTAAAAATGACAAAGCAAAATGAAAATAATTGCTTCTGGTCTTTCTGTGTCATTGACTGATAACTGTGACTAAGATTTAGCTTTAGTAACCAGGTTTTATTTTAGCCATCCCATTTCCAAAGTGTCTTAATATCAGACAGAACAGAATTTCAATGAGCTTCAATCTCCAGTTGGGTAAGCTTAGTTGTGTGTTAAAGAAAGCCATATTTAATATTTTAAATGAATGTGTTAACTTGGTGTCAGCTGTAATCTATGTATGTTTCTAAATCCCTCTCACATGAAACACAGAGCTAGTCTCACCTCTGGTGGATGAAGGAGTTGAGGCAGGTGAAAATGAGCAGCGGTACCATGGCGCACAGCGTCATCACATTGTTGAACTTTGACTCTAGGACATTACGATTGTCACCCTCTATCACCACCGTCCCATTGGCTGTCTGATTGTGTTCTCCATTGGTCTGTGGGTCCTTCAGACGTTGGGTGAAGTACTGCAGAACAATGAGAAGACATTTAATATTTGTATATTTAAAAAAAAATTTAAATTCCTTATTTACCATTTCTGATTATTTCATACTATAACAGAATTTATTTTCATTTTAGTTTTAGTCATTTTGTTCCATGCATTTGTCATTTTTATTAGTTTTAGTTTTTTTAAATTTTGCTATTCTGCTTTTATTTTATTTCAATTTTAGTTGAAGGTCTTCAACTTTCAATTTTATTCAATTTTATTTCATTTTTATTTCAGCTTTAAACATCTATTTGATTCTACTTTGAATCCTTTTGTCCAGTGTTATTTTAGTATTACTTATATCCTATTATAGTATTTATTCATATTTTAAAAATTCAGTTTTTTATTTTAATATTAGTTTTAGTACATTTGTTAAGCGTGTTCGTCCTTTTAAGCTTTATTTTTATTTCAGTTTTAGTTTTAGTCCTTCAACTTCAACTTATTTTATTTCAGTTAGTTGCCAAAGGAAGATTTCTAATTTTTGTTAAAGTTTTTTTTTTTTTTCAGTTTAAGTTTATCTATTAATATTTCATTTTTATTCAACTTTAAACATCTATTTGAATCTACTTTGAATCTGTTTTGTACAGTGTTATGTTTGTATTATTTATATTCTATTATAGTATTTATTAATATTTTCCATTTTTTGTGTTTTAGTAAAATTTGTTGTGCATTTGTATTATTTTTTAATACTTCTACTTAGCTTTATTTTCCATTTTCGAATTTTCATTAAAAAAAATTTTGTTCGCGTTTTTCATCTAATATTTAAATTTGATTTGATTTGACCTTTATTTCAATAAACAAACTTGTTTTAATAGTTTTAGTTAAAAATAACAAAGCTGGTTTAGAATTTTCCAAATTCTGGTTCCTACGATTTGGAAAAGAAGAAAATAAAGAGAGTGACAAAGGATGAACACATACAGGCGAGAGCACAGATCATGGAGAAGGCCGCAAACGTCCCTGCCAGGCCTTGTCCGCTCATGATGGGCGTGGTGTAGGATGCTGGGAGCATTCCAGCCAAACCAAACAGACTCCCTTGCAGAATTGCCCCGAACGCTGCAGAAAGAGACAGTGAAGAAGAAAAACGATGGTTAAGATTAGGAGGCAGGTGAAAATGAGCAGTGGTACCATGGCGCACAGCGTCATCACATTGTTGAACTTTGACTCTAGGACATTACGATTGTCACCCTCTATCACCACCGTCCCATTGGCTGTCTGATTGTGTTCTCCATTGGTCTGTGGGTCCTTCAGACGTTGGGTGAAGTACTGCAGAACAATGAGAAGACATTTAATATTTGTATATTTAAAAAAAAACATTATTATAACATTATTTATGCTGCTGTAATTTTGCAGTGTAAATGCATTCATGCTACATTTCAACTTCATTAAACTGTCTGTGTAAATGCATCTAAATGCCACTTCAGCTGCTTCTGTTTCTTCTGCAGTGGAAAGATCGGTTTTGTTAAAGGGGTCATATGATGCGGCATCATATGACCCCTTTAATACTGATGTAATTTGATTGGTAACAGCCCTATAGTGCCTTATTATATTAGGTGAAATTACTGATAAAATGTAAGAATTTGATATGAAAGATGACACATGCGTTTAATAAGGTTAGGGGGAAATGTCCTTTAAATAGGCATGACCTGGAAATCAATTTAAATACATTTTAGTATGCAGTAACATTAGTCATATAAACCGTAATTTCCCAACAACAAAATTGTGGCCAGTGAAAATGCTGAGTGGCTAGTAATTTTGGAAAACCACTAGCCAAAGTGACTGGTGAGCAAAAAAATTTATGTCAAGCCCTGTATAGAGTGAATATTTGTATTATTGCAGTTAAAAATGTGGTGTTTAACTGGAGTAAGGTGGTGGGGGTGCTTAACACATTGATATACAGCAATAATTGATATACAGCTATATTTACCTACATAAATGCTTTTCACAAAAACATTTGAAAGTATTTTAAACCTACAGTAGGAAACTTAATCTCCAAATAAAAGATGCATTAAAAGCAATATTCATTGTTGGATCATTTTATATTGCCAAAATCCAAAACAAATGTCCCTTTGGGGACAATGAAGTACTCCAAATCCAATATAGCTCACAAAATCATGGATTCATCTAATAATGTGCCATTAAAGTTTCAGTGGTTTCAACTAGACGATTGTTACCATGGTAGCAGTCATGAAGAAATTCCATGGTAGCAGAGTTCCCAGGCCCAGAATGAAGAATATGATCCATACAGCATTATACCTGGAAGACATGTCATGTTATTCACATGCAGTTTCATTACTGAGCATTTGTTTCATGTGAGAAAGACACGCACACACATTTACCTGTCCCTTGGAGCGTTTGCGGCTGTCATTGCGTCTGTCTGACGGATCTGTCACTGATTTGTTTCAGAATCTGGCATCAAATCTGAAATCACAATCACATGAAACAACCTTCATTCAGTGAAGCTGAACCACAACGCCACAGAAGATGATCTATTGTGTTATCATTTCAAACCCAATAAACTCATTTTAGTTAAATATTCAATTTGAAAAGTCTGTTTGTGTGGTGTTTCTGTAAAAAAAATCAAAGCATATGATTTAATGATATTTTTAAGAATGACTAAATACTTTTTGAGGTCACTGTAGATCTCAACAGGTCTACAGTCTTCAGTATTTACTGTGTAAACATCTATTATTATTGTATTTCGTTCAAAAATATGATTCTGTTAATGGATATTCTGGCAGCCCCAACACAAACATACTGTAATATCTAAATGAATGTTTATATTTTCACTTCAGTGTCGTTTTTACATGTGCTTGCAATTAGCCTAAACCTCTAAAACAATATTTTGAACATATCACATATTCTGCTTTATTAAGCCTTGGGTATAGAGTTCATAAAACAACTACAAATTAATTTCCTGAGCTCAAGCGACTGCTTGTCTACCCTTAAGGAATGAACCCTTAAGGAATGAATCACAAAATCCTCTGCACTCAAGAAAGAGCAAAATATTTATTAATCCTGCAAATCTTGTAAGAATATAAATAAAGAGAGAATGAGAAACTAATGAACTGTTTCTCCTCGCTGGACGTTCCATTAATATTGATACCTCTGAATTAAATTTTTCAGTGTATTTGTATGGTGCTTTTTGTCTTGTAAATGGATTCTGCTGCTCTTAAATGATGTGTTTCAGATGAACTGTTTGCAAACTAAGATGATAATCAGAGACTGTGACGTTGGTTTCTACCATCTCCATGGACCATAATGAAGCATTCTGTATGTACTAATCTGCTTAATTTATGCTGTTTATAGTGCATAAATGACCACAAGCTTGAAGACATACTGATGCACTATCCTCCTCCAAAAAGCATACTTTCAGCAGTCCCATAAACACATTTTCTGAACTGTCTGTACACACAGAGCCCACTGAAGTACTCTTCATTCATACAGCTGTCACAATATACTCTTAGTGAAGAGATTTATTGGCTGACAGGAGGTCAAAACATAGGACGCCATATTATCAATCATTTTTTATTGTATGTTAAAACCTTCACAGAGAGAAGATTAATTTGAAAGAAATTTCAAAGTTGCATTTCATATTGTGTTGTACCATTTCATAAAAACAATGACAAATATTGAAAAATAGGTTTTCTCCACAGCTACTGGAATTGTGTACAATGATCAGTATTTTTCAAAGAAACTAAGAAATGTGCTCTCTTTTCTTTGCTATTCTCTTCTGGAAATTGCAAGTAATTATTTTGCTGCATTAGAAAATCTGCACAGTAATTTCAGTAATCAGATTATGGTAAACAGTTTGAAATGCTATGGTAAGGTAATCAGTATTTTCCAAATGAAACTAAACATGAGTTTTCTTTTTCCTGCTATTCTCTTCTGGATATGCACAGCGTAACTTCACTATATTTTAGAAATTCTGCATAGTAATTTCAGTAATCAGGTTATGGCAAACAGGTTAATGCACTTACAATATGCACTGATAAAAAAAACTCTCCAAATTCTGGTTCATATGAGAATCTTTTAGTGCATATTAATGTAATCAATGAGAAAAGATTGATGTCTTCCACCATGCTGATTTCTCTATTTCAAATAGTATTACAGCTACACTTTCCCATGTGCTTTTTTCCAATGCATCATCATGACTGAACCAGCCTGTTGCACAGGGCCTTTAAATCAACCAATTGACACAATTCATCTGATTTGCCCAAATTGTGTTACAACCATCGGAAATCTCAGTCACGTTGAGAGAATCTGATTGAAGTCTGATTGACCTAACTCTTGTGACCACATGTCCAAACTACCATCTAAAACATAATCATCTCTTACCAATACAGGCACTTTATGCTTCCATAAGACAACAATATTAATTATACCACCACTTAAACCAGGTCAAGGTGCCCTCTATAAAGCAACATGCATTCAGCAGCAGAAACTCAAAATTTTACTTCAAAGTTAAATGGGAGATCATTCATTTAGTGGAAGCAATACATGCTGCAGTTAGCTGATAATGACTAAAAAGCTAATGAAGCATTTTCACTTTGAGCGGACTTCTTTGCCAAAGGGTTGGCAGGCATGAGAGATTCTGTGGAACTCCAGGAATGGACAGATATATCAACAAAACCTGATGCGGTAACACTAGTCTCAGAACTACACCCATATTATAGCAGTTTTTAGGAGTCATTTCATAGAAGCACAACCGAGTGTCTGCACACGGTTCTATTCAATAAAGAAAAAAAAAAAGTTTATTTTGCTGTGAAAGTGCATGATATTCGAGGCTGCCCATGAAAGCTTTTTTCAGTGTACATATAATATAGTTAATATAGCAATATGTACAGTATAAATATCTTCTAGACTAAAAAATGCCCACCCAGGATATCTGCCAGCCCACCCTTCTATAGCCGTCAAGAACCGGGCCTGGAAACCACTGGTATAGCGTGTCAAATAGAAAAAAATAGTTTGTCAATAACGCAAGAGGAGAGGACAATAACCAACAGTCATTTCTCCAGCTAGACACATCAAAAAATTTTCACAACAACAATCAACCCTTCCTACTGAAATGTAAATGTATCAAAATCATTAAAAAAAATGATTTTGATGAGTAAATGAGTTAAGTACCAAAAAGCATTTACTATGATAAAAGTGAAATTCACATTTTAAGAGTAAACTAGTATATAGATGTTCGTAGAAATGGGCTAATAGTCAAAAACTCTCATTCTGATTTCATGGGTCTTTAAAAGTCATTGCAAAATTCTCCAGCATCATATGTTAGCAAATGCCATCTCTTTGAACTCTTTCAGTTCAAATACACTGAATGGAGAATGAGATTGGAAATACAGCACATAAGCTGTATCAAGCGGTCATTCCCCCGGAACTGCTTCCAGTGTACATCAGCGAGCGCAAGCTACATTAGTGATTATTACGTTTTGAATATGGATATTTTTCTTACAAAATCGCATCGATTCGCTACAGAAGGCCTTTGTTCACCCCCCGGAGCCGTGTGAGACACTTTTTTTATGGATGGGCGCATTTTATTTAACTGCTTTTGGACTGATGCATGCAACACCCGCTGAGTGCCATGAAACAGCTTGAAAGATCAAAGACCATTTTTAATATCCCTCCGACTGGATTCGTCTGAAAGAAGAAAGTCATATACACCTAGGATGACTTGAGGGTGAGTAATTTATGGGCTAATTTTCATTTTTGGGTGAACTAACCCTTTAAGGCATGCTGGCGTCATGCCATACTACTTACCTTGCCAAAAATGCATCATAACATTAGCATTCGCAACTTTTCATTTGACATTTGATGTACATTTCAAGTCACCAAAAAAAGTTACATTTCACTGAATATATTCATATCACACAATCCCAAAGTTACTAAAATAAAACCATAGGCTACTACCTGTTTAGTTGTGAATGACTCGACACGAGCTGAGCAACAAACAATAAAACAACACTGTCTGACACATTAACAAACTTAATCAACACATATTTCCGAATATTAAAGATAATAACTATCGCCGTATGTTTCGCTAAGAATATAAAGTCGCGTCGCGCATTTGGCGCTCAATTTAACCCGCTCTCGCACGCTACATTTAAAACGGCGGGGTTCTAAAACCCACGTGCTTGAAAACACTGGACGCGTTGTTATTAAATAACACCGCAGAACACTGTTTGTTCAACTTTTGACTATCGGACATTTGATATTTCAAGTCACCAAAAAAAGTTACATTTCACTGAATATATTCATATCACACAATCCCAAAGTTACTAAAATAAAAGCATAGGCTACTACCTGTTTAGTTGTGAATGACTCGACACGAGCTGAGCAACAAACAATAAAACAACACTGGTCTGACACATTAACAAACTTAATCAACACATATTTCCGAATATTAAAGATAATAACTATCGCCGTATGTTTCGCTAAGAATATAAAGTCGCGTCGCGCATTTGGCGCTCAATTTAACCCGCTCTCGCACGCTACATTTAAAACGGCGGGGTTCTAAAACCCACGTGCTTGAAAACACTGGACGCGTTGTTATTAAATAACACCGCAGAACACTGTTTGTTCAACTTTTGACTATCGATACGGGTTTCAAAGGATAACTCTCACAACAGTAAATCGCGCGATAAAAGTGAACGTCAGAAATGTGTATGAGAAGTGAGTAAAGTACTGTAGTAAAACTGAGCCCTACCTTCACATGTGGAGAGTAGAAGAGACTGCGGAGTCTGAGAGAGAGCTTGACACAAAGAGCTGTGAGGAGGGACTGTCCCATTATGATTATGATGATTATAATAACTAGAGCTCGACTAATGTAGGCTGCAACACAGTTTGATGATACTAGATCTTGATCTTTACCTTTTCAGTAATAACAACAACAAATACTGATGATGTTTATCATCGCATTAGTTTAGGTCGGACTAAAAATGTTTCTGTTCCATATAAATAGTGGAACAGAATAGCTACAAATTAAACGTTTAGACAAACTTGACAACGGCTTCTGCCTAAGTGCTTGAAATTCGTTTTCTTGAGAAATATACTAGTGTCTACTTATGAATTTCTTCACAGACACATTTTCTATTATCTAAGCATTTATTTATTAATTCATTAATAACGGCGGGGGTCTAAAACCCACGTGCTTGAAAACACTGGACGCGTTGTTATTAAATAACACCGCAGAACACTGTTTGTTCAACTTTTGACTATCGATACGGGTTTCAAAGGATAACTCTCACAACAGTAAATCGCGCGATAAAAGTGAACGTCAGAAATGTGTATGAGAAGTGAGTAAAGTACTGTAGTAAAACTGAGCCCTACCTTCACATGTGGAGAGTAGAAGAGACTGCGGAGTCTGAGAGAGAGCTTGACACAAAGAGCTGTGAGGAGGGACTGTCCCATTATGATTATGATGATTATAATAACTAGAGCTCGACTAATGTAGGCTGCAACACAGTTTGATGATACTAGATCTTGATCTTTACCTTTTCAGTAATAACAACAACAAATACTGATGATGTTTATCATCGCATTAGTTTAGGTCGGACTAAAAATGTTTCTGTTCCATATAAATAGTGGAACAGAATAGCTACAAATTAAACGTTTAGACAAACTTGACAACGGCTTCTGCCTAAGTGCTTGAAATTCGTTTTCTTGAGAAATATACTAGTGTCTACTTATGAATTTCTTCACAGACACATTTTCTATTATCTAAGCATTTATTTATTAATTCATTAATTCATAAAGAAATGGATTGGAATGGATAGTGAACACAGTAGGCTAACTGAAAAGCAGCAGAATAGATATAGGAACTCTGAACATGGAAAAAACATGCCATGAAGTATTGAGAATGTCCAAGATCTACACAAAAGAAGCACAGATGTATTTGCACCTATGTTATCTCATAGTTTTGTTGACTTTATTATTTGTACAAAATGGAAAATAGTCCTAATAAAAATTATGTGTCCAAACTTTCTCTCCCACTGAATGCACTGCACTGAAAAAAAAGAACTTTTTAATACAAAGGACCAAAAATTACGAAGCCAAACGTATAGGCTAAATAGCATTATATCTAACTAACTATATTATATTATAATGTATTAAATTAAAAATAAATTAATACATAAACAAAAATGTAAAAATTATTTGACATTGTTAATTAAAAAAAAAATCTAATTAACTTTTTTACATTTTAATGCAGAAATTCAACAAAAATGGCTTCAATGGCATGTTTTGGGGTTTTTTCCTTTCTTTTTTTACCCTCCTCTTGTGATATGGCATGGCGGGCCAAATCAAAAGCCATCATGGCCAACTTTGGCCATGGTTTGTGCATATCTGCTCTAGACATACTCTCTCTGTCATGAATGAGGTGCTACAATCTGTCACGGCCAAATTTAACATTTCCAAAAGCATGTGACAGCAGACTTTGCACTTTGCCTTGCCTGTTGACAATGACAGACATCTGTTGTTCTGTCTGTAGTGAGGCGATGCACACCTTCCATGTGACATTCCACACCCAGAGGAAGGAGGGTTTGCTGTTAAACTCACACGAGGTGAAAACTCCCACCAGAACACAGCTGCACTTTCTGAGATTCCTGAAGAGTTCACAACTGCACATCTTTATCGCATTTTCAAGGACATGTGATGTCTACAGTTTTTGTTTAAAGCTGAGGTCCTGCAGCTGAATGAATATTTAGTAGTGTCACTATCATGTGCTGAACAAGTTTGAGGTCTACTAAATTTAGTTTAATTGCTTGAGAAGCAAAGCATCACTATGCTGTTTGCTTATTATTATTGTTCTTATTATTATTCTTCCGTACAAACTTTGGCACGTAACTCGTCCCGCACCGTTTGTCACAGACCCATGTAATAGGTGTCAAATCATGAGAAGAGGTGTGCTATGACTTTTATAATCAATCAGGCGTACGATGTTTGCACAGTGGGTAAAAAATCAGGCAAAAAATCCCATAGACTTAACATTGTGTCCAAATTTGACGGGTCGTAGCGCAGAGCGAGGATTTCGTAGAAACATGTGAATTACTACATTTGAAGAGGCTGTCAATCTGTGCAAGACCATACCTCGCAATGGGGTATAAGTTGTGCAAGAGCCCCCCAGAGTTGCCCCATAGCCATACTATGGTGAAGGAATTGAGCACATGTGTATTTCCTACTATGGTAACTTGCATAGGAATTTTGCACAGAACATAACTCTGGATCACAATGTCATAGAGACATGGGGGTTGCATCATATCATTAATTCTGGCAAGCAGCCTTTGGAGTATCATCATTGGCAGCTACCTAACTATTGCCACTAAACCACTCCCTAACAACCAAACTGAGTACCCTAGCAACCATTTAGCGACACCTATATCTTTGCATCAGAACATCGTATAAACATGGGAGTTGGCTCTTTTGACTCAGGCTATCAACATGCTAATAGCGATTAGCTAAGTGCTAAAACATGATAAAAATCCTAATTAATTGTTAAAACGTCATAAAAAAAGACCCCACCAACTGCCCAGTGCAAGCACCACTCACATTTTCTTTAGAAAATGTACACATGTAGTTATTTCTGCTGTTGTTTATCTCTGCACGCTGGCACTACAAATATTCAGGTTTTCCAAGCATAATCATGTATTCCTTTGTAAGTCTTTCTAAAAGTGAATGAATAAAGCAAAATAACTGATTTCATATTCCCGGAAGTATTTCAATGACCTAGAATGGAAGACCATTTCCGCCACTGACAAAAAAAATTAAAAAGATGACTGCAACTTTTTAATCTCATAATTTAGATGAGAAAGAAGTCAGAATTCTGAGGTTATATCTCACAATTCTGTTTTCTTCTTCTTCTCAGAATTGCGAGATATAAATTCTGTCTTTCTTTCTTTAAATTACGAGTTCATTTCAAATAGTGATTTAGGCATCATTTTAGTAAACTCACTTTCAGGTCTGGCTCCATTCAGCAACTTTTGATGTTACACTCAATTCTTATGTGCATGAATATCCTGGTTCACACAGAAACACATGACATCAGGAAAATTAAATGGCTTGGAAATGTAATTTTATGTTTTCTACGTAATTTTAACTTTCTACTATTTCTAATTAAAACACAGTTTAACAAATGCGTGCAGTAAACAAGATGATGTTCATTTTCGAAGCACTTTGAATGTATTGTGTCTTGTTTTGACTTGTTTACGTCTGTAGGTTGGGTTCTGGGTCAGATGAATTTGTATGTTTAAAATAGAACTGGCAACCGTGTTGTATTCTTATGGGCTGCCGCTTGAATATAACTGTGCGGTTAGATTCTGTTTGCACTTACAGTCTGACCGCATCCACCTACACCCTGTCTCGTCTAAAAGCAGTCATGGTTGGAGTGAGACAGTCTCTCCATGGATATGAAGTTTAACAAGTAAACATCCCAAAAAAGTGGGAGGGAACAAAAACTCCAAACAAGCACTTCTTGGGTAATATACCTTAGAATAACAACAGTTATCGGCTTCAAAATGAGTGCTACATACTGGTAGCATTTAGACTGATGGCCAAGAGCCTTCACCGCAACACTGCCTCCATTCAAACACAAGTCATAACCATCCAGAAAGTGAAGGGTGAGTGAAATGACAACATTGCACTCTTGATCTGGGTCATAAGCTCGGTTTGCTTCAGGAAGAGTGTTCCGGAAATTCAAGTCACTTTGGATTAAATAAATCGGTTACAAAACAAGTAATTGATATGAAAGAAAATAGAATGTTTTAAGGGTAAATGCGAGTCATCAGCTTTATGAAATAAAATAGCTGACATTATTTTTTCAAGGTCAGTTGATCTGGAAAGAGAGGTGCTGGGAATAAGAAAACTGAATTCAATCAGTAAAATGGTCCAGATGTTTAAAGTCCCTTTTGAAAAGCATCCCATTTTGAGTCCTGTCAGTATTGATATAAAAATAAATACTTTCTTTGGAAACTCCACTTGTACAAAGGTGAGTAAATAATACCATATATTGGGTGAACTACTCCTTAAAAAAATGTATATAGATAGATATGTGCCCAAAAGCACATTACATCTGTATGCAGTACGTCACGCACCTGGCAGGAGAGAGGAACAGGGGCCGGTTGCATAAACTGTTTAGACTAGTCTTAAAAAGTTAGTCATCTAATTTTTTTTCTTTAAGACTGGTCATAACTTTTTTAAATCAGTTATGAAAAGGTAGATTGGTCTTATTTGTAGTGGAAAGGTAACACTGATTTGCCCTTGGCAACTGCTAGTTGGTCAAACTAGTTCTTAAGACACAGTCTTAACATGGTGACTAAGTTTATGCAACTGGCCCCAGGAGCTGAGCACATGGCAGTGCAACAATCTCTGTAGCATGTCAAATGAAATCAGAGCCTCTCGGTCACCTTTCAACTTCTGTCCTCTCAGAGGACTCTCAAATTGGGAACGTTTTAATAAATAACAACGCCCTGGCAACCAACCACAAAATCTGGAGAAAATGTAAAAATGCATTCATATTGTGGCGATAAGATCTGGGGTCATATCAGAAGGAACTGATAACTTGCTAGGAATTCAAAGGAATATAAAATGGGTTTAGGGGTGTGCTCATGGTTAACTGTAGTTGCAGTTTATGCACTTTTTGAGTCAGGTGAATTTCAGGGGGTTCGTGAGTTGATGAAAAGCTATTAATTAATTAAATTATAATGAAATCGTACAAATTAAATGAACAGCCTAAATAAATTTAAAATAAAAAAACACAAGGGAAACACAAATAAAGTTATATTTTCCTATATTCTCTTTTAAGTAGTCAAACAATCCAAAGAAAACATCTTTAAAACAAAAGGAAAAGTCACTTACAAAATGATATTAGAAACATTTTTTTTTTAAATCTGACCAGAGTTTCTGTGTGTGAGTACATTGCCAAACAAGTGAATGAATCTTCATCAGAAGAGTGACAAAAACAGCAACTCACTTCAGTGTCTGACTTATATTATAATTACGTCCGTGAGCTTTTTGTGAAATTTGGAATAACTCAATCTGTTGTTTGACCTTAAGGAGAGAACTATAGTTTTCAGACATCGCTTGTTATGATTTTCAAGGGTGCAGAATTTAGTGGGGACACTATGACATGTTACTATCAATATCCAGTGACTGCTAAATTGTCCCTGGCAATAGTTTTGATCAAACAATTCAATTTCTGTTGTCTGCCGTTATATCCCCACCAATGCCCAAATCAAACCTACACCCTTTCATCTTCCCTCCATGTAAGGCCTTTATTGCAGTGTTTATAAGCGCAGCTGCTTTGTTTACAGTGGTTACTGTGGAAACAGCTCTATTTCTGCTGTTCCACAAGCACCACCTGCTGTCAGAGAGTGGAGTTACACTTTCATTCAGCTTGTCTGCTGTTTTTGTTCAGACCAATGTGAAAAATTGGAACAATTATTTGTTGTAAAACCGGTACATGGAAAACAAGCTACTGTGCATTCTAATCATCTTAACACTTCGATAATAAAGTAGCCTATATGTAGAACTGTTTATAAAGCAGATACAATGCCTATAATTTATCATTTTGACTCATCGTTTTCTTAAAAAAAATTATTTAAAGACTGAAATTTATTTTGTCAAATCTTTATTTTAAGATGTAGTAGCCTACATGTTAGTAGATAACATGTTAAGTTTTAAGTCACCGAACCAATATTTTTATTTGTTTAAAATCCATTGGTTGGTTAACATAAAACTTGGTGAAATGATTTCAGTGTGTGTTTCCGAGTGCTTTTTGAACATTTCCAGCACATTTTAACAATACTGTGATAATATTAATAATCATTTTGGTCACTATAATCATATACAATTTTCATGCCGTTTTATCTCTAATAACAATTAAAACGTATTGCTGTGGAAGACCACGTACCCTGATGAACCAGCGGACAACCGATCAGCCTACAAACCTACTGGACCATCTGATAAAATCAAAAATCAGACATCCAAATATTATAATCACCCCAAAATCAAAATTTGTTGAAAATGTACTCAACCCTCGGGCCATCTAAGATGTGAGTTTGTTTCTTCATCAGAACAGATTTGGAGAAATGCATTCCATCACTTGCTCAGCAATGGATCCTCTGCAGTGAATGGGTGCCGTCAGAATGAGAGTCCAAACAGCTGATAAAAACATCACAATAAATAATCCACACCACTCCAGTCCATCAATTAACATCTTGCGAAGCCAAAAGCTGCGTGTTTGTAAGAAACAAATCCATCATTAAGATGCTTTTAACTTCGATAAAATATATATCCTCTATCCATAATATTGCTTTCAACAGTGAAAAAAGTAATCTGGTCTGAATCAGGAGAGAAATATACACAGATCAAGCACCATTTAAAAACAGTTCAAAACAAATATGTGGTTGGATTTTGATGTGAGAGGATAACAGGGGATGGAATTTTTCACTGGAGGAATCATTATTATGGATTATATTTTAGCCGGAAGCAACGGCTTGAAGTTAAAAAAGCCTTAAAGATGGATTTGTTTCTCACAAACACGCAGCTTTTCACTTCTCAAGACATTAACTGATGGACTGGAGTGGTGTGGATTACTTGTGGATTATTGTGATGTTTTTATCAGCTGTTTGGACTCTCATTCTGACGGCACCCATTCACTGCAGAGCATCCATTGGTGAGCAAGTGATGCAATGCTACACATATTTCTCCATATCTGTTCCGATGATGCAACTCACGAGAGTGAGTACATTTTCAACAAATATTCATTTTTGGGTGAACTACTCCTTGTATGTTGCCCACACTGATATAAAACACCTTGACCTCATCAAAAACACGAATGCAGCTGGTTTACACAACTCATGTCCAAACACGTCCTCCGCTGGCCTTCATTCCTTTATTCGCATTGACACAGAAAGGCCATCACGAGGGAAAACTAAAACTTCATATCTGCTCTCCTCTATGCAGCTTCAGAACAGTAGATGGGATAGGAAGATTTGTTTGGAGTTCTGATGTAGTACAGACTAGATAAGACAAAAATGGGGAGGTAAAGTGGTAATAAAGCCCCAGCAGAAAAATCATCACATGTAGAACCAAGTTGCAAATTACTCACAAACACAGCTAGAATAACAACATCAATGACTTTAAGTCTAAAGTCAACACATCACATGACTTTTGCCCTCTAAGCCAATTCTCCAGAGAAACACAATGGCCCGACTCTTATAAGGTTAGTCTTATGACCTTCCATTTAAACCCACCAGACCTCGACATGTCAGAAATGATCAAACATTCTTCACGCTACATTTACTGCTGGAAATATATGAACACTGGCCTTTGAAAATACTGCAAAGTAGGAATGACATTCAACCAGGTCATTTACAAACTACAAGGAAACTTCCATAAAATCTAATATGCAATAACCACAATTCCGTGAAAGTTAAATGTTCCTTTAGCACATGTCTAATGACCACCATGTCACATTTATTACCTGAACTTGTCTGTGTGCTGCTACTGGTTTCGTAGTGTTATGGCTCTAATTTAATCTGTACTGTAGACGACTCCTTTAAAGTCGCATCCACTGCAGATGGAGGCAGTGCCGGTTCTGGCCAAAATGGGTTTGAAAGGTGATTCTAGGCCTAAAACCTCAGAGTCTGAATGAAACAAAATGCAATGTCTTAAAACACCTTTTCACATGTTTTCTCAGTAAGCCTCAGCATTATAAATAGCATAAAAAGAAGACAAAAATAGTTTATGAGATTATTAGGGAGGGCACACTTTAAAATAAAACTTCAGCTACACCATGTTCAAAATGACACATGCTATTTCTGTACTTCAGCATGCCTGCCAAAGCCATAAAATAAACATCAACATTTATTGACTGTAAAACTCCTTCTTACGTCTCACCAATAATAGCAATAATTAAAAAATGTAACATTAAATAACTTTTTATTTATTTTCAAGTGAATTATATTAAACATAAAATGTATTATTATCATTTTTAAATTATATTATAATTTTTTGAAATGAGAATTTGAGGCAAAAGGTAACTGTCAAATGTAACTGTCATGAAAATAATTTATTTTGTCATCCTTAATCTGCTTATATTCTTTCTGACTAGCCACCCTGTCTGCACTGTTGGCACTCCAGACGTCCTGAGAAACAAGGCCTAGACAAACTTTGGAAAGTTTTACAGACATTTTTTTACACTCTTTACCCCATGACTGGATACGGTGTGTCGGCTGTTCTTAAAATCATTAGAAATGACACTTTGGAAAATCTTGCAGAAATGTACTCAGGAGCATCTGGACATTGTTTAATCTGTTGTGGGATCTCACTGACCAATAAAAGAGACCTCACCTTTTAAACTGGAGTCAAAATTGAACCCCATTGAAAAACCAGGTTAGGTTACAACCATCTAAAAATCCAACTCAAGATAAAAATCCTTATTTTAAGGGAGTGTATTTTAAGGGAAAAAAATTGAAGCATCAAAGAATAAAATATGTGCTAAATTTCAGAAAATGTAAAACTGGGCCAAATTTAATAAATAAATTTACTAATATTTATTATGGATAGGGAAATAAAATTTAATTTCTGCTGTTAATACTGTTTGTTTAATGCATTGAAATAACATAATAACATAATAATAACAAATATTGATACTATAAATGTTTTAATTAGCAATTTTATAACTTTAGTATAAATTAAACATTTATGATTATGGGATGATATGATTTTTATGGGATGAATGTTGTACATTTATTTAAATTCAGTGTGGCTATCGATTTTTTATTACAATTGCTCTTTAATATATATATATATATATATATATAATATACCGGTATATATTTTGGGTCAAACATTTTACAATTACTTCTATAAAAACAAATAAATATGTAACCCAACGTTTCGATCCAATGCCAAATGCTGTGTGGTATTTATAAGATATTTATTTGTGGAAACGGGTAAAAAACTGACTCTTTCTGAAGGGTTAAACACATCATGAGACCCAACATCATGAGTTTTACATAATGGGCCTCTTTTACTGTTTTCACAAACTATCTGTTCTACACAATCTATATATTACTGTTGGATCAAGTGACCCTATAGACGCAGGTACATGAGTCTCTTCAGGCAGTTCTCCAGTCTTTCTCACACTCAAGCATAAACTGTCGCTTTGTTGTCTGATGCTTCTGGTGTTTTGTCTTATTGTGTCCATATGTTTAAAGGGGACCAAAATGTTGTGTTTATTTAACATGGTGTGGAGTTTTCCTGATGCTATGGTTATTTTAGGGATGACAATGTTTTTACATCTGTTCTTCCGTTCCTCTGCTCACTGCTCTGGAGTCTCCCCTGGACATTTCAGATGTTTTCATAAAGGCCCACTTGTGGAATCCGCAGCTTTTCAGCGCTTCCTTCACATGCTGGCCTTCCTCTCCCCTGAACTCTGAGGCACTCTGTATTTTCACTCTGTCATGTAGTGTTTTCACGACCCGCAGCTTATGTCGCAGTGAACGATGGGAATCAAACAGCAGGTAGCACTCGTTGTGTGGGGTTTTTCTGTAAACAAGCATGTTCAGAACGTTTTGCAGACTGCGTAATACCAAAAAGGCTGCTTTTTATCTTGTGAAGGAAATGTATTTGTCAGCTTTCAGGGTCTAAAATTACCACACTAAGTGCCAAATGTGGGTAAAAACCAGCATTGTTGAGTTTTTATGAAGTAGACAGACAGACAGACAGACAGACAGACAGATAGATAGATAGATAGATA